GGCCGCGCTCCCCTCTGCCAGCGGGGCGGCATTCGCAGCCGGAACACTCTGCTATTTCAGCTAGTGAATTGCCTAGGCTTATTCCTGCCTTTTTTTTACCCCCTGTACAGATAGCTGCATGCTGCTGCCTGGCACACAGCTGGCTCGGCGGCCTCTCTGCTGCATCCGCGCTTTGGGCCGCCTGCCCTCACGCTCCCTCATGGAGCTCCGGGAGCTCGTTTCTGCCCTGAATGACTTTGCATCCCTCTCTCTGGCTGAGAGCTGGGACAATGTGGGGTTGCTGGTGGAACCAAGTCCTCCCCACACTGTGAACACCCTTTTCCTCACTAACGATCTCACCGAGGAGGTGATGGAAGAGGCAGTGCAGAAGAAGGCAGACCTTATTCTTTCTTACCACCCTCCCATATTCGCACCGCTCAAGCGAATAACGTGGAAGACCTGGAAGGAGCGGCTGGTGGTCCGGGCCCTGGAGCACAGAATCGGGATTTACTCTCCTCATACGGCGTACGATGCCATTCCTCATGGAGTTAATAACTGGCTAACAAAGGGACTTGGTGAGATTCTGTTAAAAACAAACAAACAAACAGGTTAAAATTATTCATTAGTACATGCTATTTTATGTGGGGACCTTCCCTCATTTTCCTTTCTTCCAGCTTTTACAGGAATGATTTGAGGACTTTTTTTTTTACTTCCCCCCTCCCCCATTCTTTTAGTACTTCTAAGTACCCTAAACATATTTTAGGGAATTTATCTTGGTGAGGATACCAGATACAAACACTAGAGGACATTTTCAGATGCATGACTGTACTATTGAATGTAGTCAGAACTGGTGCAGCACATTTCTTGTCTATCTTGGTTGCAAAGTTTAGGCCACAGACTTTAAATCACCACCTTTAATTTATAAAGTGCAAGATCTCATTATTTGCAAAGCACTTAAGGTATCTGAAATTCTTTTAGATTTTTATCCTGTATTGTGGCTTGTAAATGAAAACAGCTATTTCTTTTCCAGCCTGATTTACAAACCAGAAACTAGTTGGGTTTTGTACAATTCCTAGGATAAAACAGATGGCATTAAGAATTACAAATAATATATATCCATCAGCTTCTTTGCACTTAAAGTAGACTGTGCCTAATGGAGACAACAGGGCAAGAAGTCCTCATTCTGGATAGGGAAAATGGATTCAAGTGCAAAATTTGCATCTTTTTATTGAATCTCTGTAGTATATGTGCTAAATCAGTATTAGGACACTTATCCAGCTTTATAAAACAGCAATCTTGTGCTGTTGTCTCAGGTGCCTGTACTTCTGTCCCACTGCATCCATCAACTGCGCCAAGCTGTCCAACTGAGGGCACTCACCGGGTAGAATTCTGCACAGACAACAGTGAGCATCTGGACACGGTGCTGTCCAAAATCAAAGACATCCAAGAGATCTCCTGTCTCACTACTCTCCCTGCCAGGTATCTGCTTTGTTCTCTAATGTGTTCTTTCTATTGTTTGAAACAGTAAGTGGATGGAATTGTATTTTACTGTTATAATCACTTTGTTCCTCTGTGCATTTCTGCCATTTTTTTCAGCAACAGATCTAGAAATTTAAGGATAATCATCCCTTTCTGATCAATCTATGTTATACTAAATGGTAACAGCAACTCAGTGTATCATCACATAGATTAGAGGTGGTAAAGAAGAGTATTAACAGGAAATTTGATGAGGACAGTTGAGTTAAATTCCAGTATCTGTTTCTTCCAAGAGACTAGACTAGACTAGGCTAGGCTAGGCTATTACAATGCCTTCCTTTTTCCTTTCTGTGCAGTAGAATGGACACTGGGATAGAATAACTTTGTTTTATATTGATATGATGCTGAAATTTTATCTAGTTTCTTAGCAAGCACCAAGCATATCTTTCCTCAGGGTTGAAGGTGAGGAGCAAACACGAGTCAGTTTGAACTGCTCTCAGAAAGCACTGTTGGAGGTGGTGGCATTATTGTCCCAGAACAGCCTTCTTTATAACAAGACTGAGATTCTCTTATTACAAAAGGTAACAAAATCACGTATTACTTCCAGTGAATGTATTACTTGTGTGAGTTGAGTGCCCTGAACACTGAAGTATCACAGGTTTCCTATGCTACCCTGTCAGTGCTCTGAAATACCAGCCTGTGGGCATTTGAAGCCACACATGTTTTCCAAAACAATGAAAATAGCTGTGTGGCCTGTACTATTCTTAAATCAGTTCCAACAGCTAGTGTAGTTAGTATGTTACATTCAAGAACTTCACATAACGTATTTTTTGATAAAGTTCAGAGGCATTCCTTCTGAATGCCCAATATACTCATCTTTGTACAGTGTTAAAAGCAGTGTGAACTTCTGGAGTCAGCTTTCTCACAGTAATTTTTATCTTTTCAGCCTCTTCTTCCCCATACTGGAATGGGACGTCTGTGCACACTGAGCGAGCCAGTCTCCTTGTCAGACATAATTGCACGTATCAAAAGCCACCTAAAACTGCCCCACATCCGCTTAGCCATGGGAACGGGCAAGACACTAGGTAAACAGGCCTGCAAGTAAGACTGTCCATTAGAACTAGCATTCCTGTAAGACAAGGACTGTGAGTGTGTGTGTGAGTGTGTGAAGTACTGCTGCCATGGATAGGTTTACTTCCAAGTAGTACGAAGCACTGTTAAAGGCAAGACACAGCTATTTTAGAATTTATGTGATACAATCACACAAAAAGAATGTAATCTCTATTTTTAACTGGAAGTTCTATATTATGCTGGTTGTCACTGTGAAGAAGGGACAGTACGAGTTGAATATGAGACATCCTTTTTCATAATTTGTATGATGACTAAGATTTCTACCCCCTGCCAGAATATCAGACACAAACGCGTACCATTTTGTTGTACACTTCCTTTTGTGACTGAATGTTAAATTTCAAAGCACCTTAAAATAGTAAGATACTTTGTTATCCTTACAAACATGTAACCATCCATGTTTTGATGGAACAAAAATAGTGGCAAAGAAGGTGAACTATGCTAGCTCAAACAGTGGGTCACTAGTAAAATGAGGAGCAAGCATCCTCTTATCCCAGTTACCTACCCTAATTTCCAAGGGGCACAGCTACTAGTACCTGTGAGACCAAATTTGTTGAGAACTCTTTGTAACTTATGAAACAGAAGTCATATTAGAAGCCTCTTATACTATCAATTGCACTAAAAAAACTCCAAACTATTTTGAAGCCCCTCATGGTGTGGGATTGTAGTGGTGTGACTCCACTTATAATCAACAGTAATTACATGGCAACATACTGTAAAACCTTAATAGAATTTGAAAACTCTCTCTCTGTGTCATGCATCCCCTCTCCTGAGTGAATGTAATAGATATGGAGAATTAAATTTCCTGTCACTGTCACATATGTAATAGCTTGGAACCAGCAATCACAGCAAACAGGCAAATTTTTAACGGCATGGAGCAGCTCTCAGCTTGCATTGAGATTGGCCTTCTGAGAGCTAAAAGTTAGGAGCCAGTATATGTCAGAGGCAAAACACTCCCTTAGTGGCATCATTAGTTGGAAAACTAATGATGGTGGAATGTGAGAGTCCTGGAAAGAGTAGCAGTCTATTAAAGGGTTCAGAAACTTCACTAAATAACACCTCACTAGGACAGAACTAGCCAGTAGCCAGCCTCCGTTCTGTAGTTTTCTGCAAACTTTTCTACCCCTTGAAGAAAATAAATCTACACATCTATTTGGTACACAGAGGATTTTGCTGTATTATCAGAGATGTTATGGGCCCATGACTCTTGCAAACTGACAGATGTGTCTCTTCCTCCAAGAAATTTACATTGACCCTAAAATCAAGGTAGTAATTATTGTGAAATAATTAATAGCAATACTGACATGAGGCTTGGACAGAGGGAAAGAAGTTTAACTGTGGCACCTTGTATCCTGCAGAATCACCAGTGAAGAAAGCTGCTCTGTGTGCTGGTTCTGGGAGCAGCATCCTGAAGGGAACGGAAGCTGACCTCTATCTCACAGGTAAAGGATTATGTTGCTGTTTCGTTATGTTTATAAAAATAGTCACTAGGGAAAAAAAAGAAAGGAAAAAAGAAGAGTTGACTGGCTGGTGAAAGATTTGGCCAGAAAGAATTGCCTGTTATAATTGAGAAACAATCAGTTAGTTATTGGAATCACAGAAGAATAACATTGAAGTAGAGATAATGTGGATCAGGTGGCTGTGTGGCACGATAAAGGTTATTCGAATTAAAACATTGTTATACATGCGTTATTTCAACACAAAATCAGTGTTGATGGCACTCTATTGCAACCTTCAGTGTGTTTCTCCTTTGGCAAGATACAAGGTACTTCCTCAGTTCCCTACAGAATTCCCTAATGAAATATAACGTAGCCTACAGAATCTTCCAAAGGAACTCCATAGCGTATCTGATCAGAGGGACACCTAGTCCATTACCGTTTTTTCTTGAAAGTGGGACAGCTACTCCCTACAGCTTGCTTAACAATGTGAAGGCAGCCTTGCATTCTGTAGTACTTAATTCGAGCAAGTTCTTTGGCAAGGCATGTCCCACCTTCCCCTTATATGCAGCCCTGCAGAGATGACCCTCAGACAGCTTCTTTGCAAGGCTTCCCAATTGCTGTCCTCCATCACAGCAAACCACATGACATCCAGACAGTCCATTTCCAAACCACTCTGCACGCTCTTATTTCCTGCCCAAAGTGGCAGAATCTACCACTGTTCAAAGAGGGCAAGGAATTACTGTGGGTTTGTTTCAGTTGTATATGGGGCATATCAGCTGAAAGTCCTTCAACGGACACTAGAGTCAGAGTGCACCATATTCTTAGAGCAGATGGTGCTGCATTGCCCCTTGTGGACTATATCCCCTGTTATGTCTTCCCAGCTTCTGCATACATTGCAAAGAACTGGTTACTTAAACTGTACTGTTAGTGATCTTACATGGCATTTCTTTCTCAAAATGGCAGGAGAGATGTCCCACCATGACGTTCTGGATGCAGTTGCCAATGGGATAAGCGTTATTCTGTGTGAGCACAGTAACACTGAGCGAGGCTTCTTGTCCGAGCTGCGTGACATGCTAGCTAGCCACCTATGTTCCAAAGTCAACATAATTGTGTCTGAGAAAGATAGAGATCCCCTCCAGGTAGCGTAGGAAAAAAAAAAAAAGGAGTGAGACAATTCAGTCAAGGGTTTCATGGTATCTTGCACAGACCTATCCAACTGCAAGCTTAATGAAAATGCTCTGAATTGGTTCAGTACAGAATGATTGTATTATATGTTACCTCAAAGTTTGGGATGTATTTTGTCATTTGTCAGATAAATAAATGCTCGTTTGGGGCTACAGAAGGCTGATTTCCTCAATTACTGGGCTGCATGTGAATGAATTTACTTTTACCGCATACTCTTACTAGATATATTTGATAACCATGATACTCAAGGGTTGGTTTGGCTAAAATATAAAAACCCAACTTATCTCTAGTTCTGCCCTACTGCAGTTGCGTCAAATCATGTCAGTAGGAGTCACTGATATTTTAGCTAATAAATCTCCTGATAATAGTTTATGAAAGGGTGTGGATCACCCATTTGCATTAACAGTTTTATTAAGACACCACTCATGCAAATATAGAACACAATTCAGGTATTTGGTACTAGTATTCAATTGCACAATCTACCATTAATGCAGCTTTAAGGCTTTTTAACAGAGGGACTCTCAATTGAAAAAGCTTTGGAAGGTTACAACTTAATTCCTTAAGAAAGCTGTAAATGAATTTAATGTGCCTTTGTTACTTTCTTTTAAAAACAGTTTCTATAGCTATGGGTCTTGATTACTAAAACTGAACTAGTAGCATTTTCATCACCGGCAATGCTTGGGTTTTATTTTTTAAGTTAGATTTTTTTGTTGTGTTCCTTTAAAAGAAAAAAAAAATCTCCCAGTTGCATACCTTACCATCTTTGGATTATGTGCATGCCAGAAGAATATTTAAGCAAAATGAAAGTATCTCCATTGGAAATTTGTAAAGATCTTGGCACCATCCTTTTAAGTTAATAAAACTGGCTCATCAAGCAATGTCTTTACCCCGTAATTGCATATGTCTTGTTCCATTTAAATGTAAGTGGAGAGAGATGACTCCAGTATTGTCTGAAGCTACTGAGGCTATATAAAGGCAATCATTCTTATCAATACCATGAAAACCTCTCAGTAAGCTGAGGAACAGAAAGTGGGAAGAAATGTCTTCTTTCCCAAGTAAAGGAAATGACTGTAGGAGTGATCCCTCCGAATCCAACAGTTCTGTATTGCTACAGAAGACATTAAAATGCTATCACCTTAGTATACACACAGAATTCAAGAGAGAGGAAATTAATGCATAAATGGGGTAGTTGTCCAGAAACAGCATGAAATCAGGATAAAATACTTTTAACACAAAACCCACAGGAATTAATTCACAGTAATTTTCTTTAGCTTGCATGCTTACATCACAGAATCATCAGCAGCCAAGAACTGTTTCAGACTTAACCTTCTCTTAGCAGATGTGTGGTATCTCCTGCAGCCCTCCCCTTCACCTGTATGGACATCTGGTAGTCTACCAAAACTGCTAGTGGGTAACTCTAAACTCAGGATGATTATAGCACTTTGTTGAAGTAAATTGCACATCTAGAAAACTAGATATAATTGCCCTGAAAATGTACCATGGTATCACTATCTGTACACACATTAGGCAGTGTCTTCCATATGTACTCAGAATATAAATTAAATCTTGAATTTCACAGGAACTGTGGAGAGAGTCGAAGGACTGCAAAATAGGACGTGGTTGCTGCTTAGCTACAATACTTTTTAAGTTTCTCCAACAACGCATCTCTTCAAGTGGCAGAGTTCTTGTTCTTGAACTCTACACCTAACTTAGAGAACGTGCTAAGACACAGTACCCTGAGCGCAGTTTTAGTGGTTCTGATGGTAGCCTAAGTAGTGTTAGGCAGGATCTGATGCATTTTGCAAAATTTTGGAATTGCAGCCTGTAAAATGCAGATGCAAGTGCCACCAAAAGAGAATGTTAGTTGGAAAATGTTTTGGGGGAGGAAGCTGCAGAGTACTGCTGGCATGTACCAGTTTTCCCCATCAAACTTTCCGGCAAAGCTAATTAGGTCCTGTAATTGTCAGTGGGATAAGTAGATATTCCGTGTTTTCAGTCCAAACAAAAGACAGGCTGTAGACCTCTGTTGCTTCTGTCAGTGACGGGTAGACCAGGTAACAATATTATTCCATGTGATGTTTTGGTTCTCTTCAAAAGCTATATACTGGTACTAAAAGGCAGGCAAACTATTTTGAATTTTGATACCTTATAAGAAACAATATATTTTTACTAATTAGTTTGAAGTGTTCTGCACGCTGCATGAGGATTTGCACAGATATTTGACATAATAACGAAAATGAGGCTTTCACACAATTGCCAGGAGGATCTCTATCTTCCTAGAACATAAAAAGATTGTGAAAGACAAGACAACCTAATGAAAATTAATAAAGTACTTTATTTGACTGATTTGAACTATTACAACATTGAGCTGTAACATAGCTACCAAATATTAGACATACAGAGTGCCTGAAGTCTGACTAGCAGACTACAGTTGATGGAACTATAGGGCTTACTCCCACATACCTGAGAAAAACGTGAAGAAAAGCTGTCAAACTTCAGCAGTCTCCCAACCTCTAAGGGCTTAAAAAAAGGGAGAGCTTATAAGTGGCATTTAAGGCCTCCTCCAGGATCAGTGGACACTCCCGATGTAAAAAATACATATATACAATCAAGTTTTTAAAAAATAAACAGCCTCTTCATATTCCTGGATTGCAGCTTGGAAAGTAAAGGAAAGCAGCTGGATCCTCTTACCCTTACCAACAGGCAATGACTTGAGTCCATCACAATTTTGGTTATCTAACTCTTCTTATAAAAGGATTTGGGTTTGGGGCAAGTCCTTCAGTTCTATTGCCAGAATTTAATAAGTTACCCACAGTGTCCCAAACCCACTAGTATTCTCCTTTCCTCATGCAGTCAAGGCAAGTCTCTTAGCATTATAAATCTTGGCTTCTTCATACACCGGAAGCTAGTCTTGTCTAACTGGTAAAGGAGTATTGGAAAGAACTCAGTTGAGAAAAGTTGCACCACTGGTATAAACTAAAGCTCTGACCATCTAGTGATTTGCACTTCCCAAGTAAATGGCTCCAATCAAACCCTCATGCCTGGTGAGGTAGAGAGCAGAAGGCACAATCTTACCGAGTTTGTTTTTCTGGCTGTAAGTTTGGCTGCATAGATATGAAGAAGGCATCATCTGAGCTAAGAGACAAAGCAGACAAATCCAACTACAGAGCAAGAGATGCCTTGCTTACAGAAGTCAACATTCCAAACTACCTGAAGTAGTTGAACAACAAGCACCGTTCATAACAATTATTACATTTCAGTAAGTAGTCCAGCAGCCTTGGGGTTGGAAGGAGGGCAAGCTGACTATAGGCCACCCTCCAGCAGCCCTTGAGAGCAATTGCCGTAGATGCTTTGAGAACAGAGAGACGTTATACATCTTCATCCTCTTTCTGTAAGAAGTCGGTCAAGGTACTGTCATCTACAGGAATTAATAAGTATTCCACACCATCAGCTCCCTGAGAACAGACATGCATACACATTCTGTTAACACCAGTGCACAGTGCAATGCAAGCCAACAGACAGCACTGCAACGCTAATGTTTATCTACAGCCTGGGTGAGAGCTGGCCAGTATTCAGGAGGACTACGTTACTAAAAACCAGGAATATTTACCCAGAGCAATACTGGAAATGCACAAATACTGAGAAAAGTCAGTATATGAGAAATTGTCTTGTGGACTATGCTAGTCCCGACACTACACAGCTCCTCAACACTATACTGCCTCATTATTAGGACCAGCCTGCATTCTTGCTTCGTGGAAACAGAGGTAACTATCGGAAGCAGACCGGCAGACTCCAGCATTCCTTACTTCTCAAGGTCTTCAGGAAGAGGAGACCTGTAGGTTGCTGAGTAAACAAAGCACACTGCATTTTTACAGCCCCCTATCCACATAAAAGATGTTGACAAATTGGAGGCACGAAAAGAGCTGCAATTACAGAGTTTCGGCCCTTTGCTAGTTCCTAGGTGCTTCAAACAACAGAGCCTCACTGTGGGCTGCAGAGTGGTGTCTTAGGGATACTTAGTAGCAAGTAAGCATCTTTTTTTGTTTCTGAATGTGGCTGAATACCCAGAATTATCTTCTTCCCTCAACTCACCCGCTTGGTCCGGATGAGTTTGTGGTCCCTGAATTCTGTCAGCTGTGCCCTGAGTGTCAGGTCACTGTTCACAAGGAAAGCCTCCCGACACTGCTGATAGAAGTCTTGGAAAGACAGTCCTGGAGATAGAAAAAAGCAAGAACAAGAAATTGAAGTGGTAAAATTGTAAGATTTTTCCAGGTCTAACAACGCACATTATCTCCACCTACAAATCTTGCTTTGGCTTAGACCACAGTGGCTCCAGTAACATGGTCACTTCTTTCAAGTATACAGCCAAGCTAATATTTCAGTAATTAATGGAAAACAGCTGAATTAATGTTCTAGTCACCCTATTTGCCTAACAGAACTTTAAGAGTGCTTTAAATGCGCTTCCCAACATGGTTAACCTCTCTTAATTTCCAACTCCTCTATCTTACTTCCAACTTTCTTTACAATTAACATTATTCATATCCCCTGCAGCATCTGTTAGAGACAGTGACAGAATATTCCACCTGTATCTGAGATAGCAGGGACACATCAGTAGTCACTTAGATAGGAACAGCACGGGAATGGAATCTCTTTGTCTTTCCCTGGTCCTTTAAGTGCTAGTTATGCAAATTCATATTCTTCCTTTATTTTAATCTTTTAACTCCACAGTCCTGTATGAACGGTCTCAGTCTCGTCTAAACATCAAAGCAGACCACCGTAACAGGAGGTCCTTCAGAACCAGCCAGTCTATTGATTTCCTGTCAGAGTCAGACACAGCACCACGAGAGAGACAGTCTACGCCACTGAGTCTCACTGAGCCAAAAGTTACAGCACTTCTGTTGCTGGCGATGCAACCTGCATACCAAAAGCCAGTACCACTGTGACTGAGCAGGCAACGGCAACACCTCAAACAGATGATAAAAGGAGGGTACATACCTGGATAAGATGGGTTGTCCTTGTTCTCCAGCTGGTACTGAGCAAGCAGTCTGAATATCCCCCTAAATGAAAGGAGGAGAGGGGAAAATCAAAAGGAAAGAATAAAAAAAAAACCCAAAACCAAAAACCTCATCATTAGAAAAGATTAAGTGACTTTTCCCTCATGACCAGGACTTTCTGCACGAATCTCATCACTGGACAAGGCTTGCCATCCAAACACTGTTCATTTAAAGTAACCAATCAAGTGGAACCCAGGTCCTACCATCTTCTTCTTGAACACTGTTGTCAGAAAACAGGGATTGCCTCCTGCTAGGTGTAGACCAGAGTAACCCAGTAAGGAATGGATCCTCAGCAAGTGCTACTATGAAGTATAAATAACAGTGTGTTACCTGGCATTGAGAGTGAGACTGCGCAGGACATGCGTTAGGGAGCTCAAAGCCAAAGATCCAGATTGCTGTACTAGAAGCGAGTTCTCATAAGACGTTTCTTCCACATAAGGATTAAATGTGGTTGTTTCATACCAAAGCCAGTTGTAGAGGCTTAGCTTTGCCTGATCCCACACTAGACAGAGAAAAAAGGAAGAGCAGAGAGAATTGGGAGATTCAGCTTTTCTAAGGTGTTAAATAAGCAATACTAAAATGTACTTAGTTCTACTGTAGGATTTGAGGAAACAATGTACGTTTGTGTAATTCACAGTACATACACCCAGACACGTGCAGTTCAAGCAAGACAAATACTCTGCAACAAAACATTTGCACACATCCCTTTTTCATACCAGCTTCATGGATATACTGTAAATCCTTCCAGAATTAGCAGTGTGCAAAGAATTTCTGGCTGATGAACAAAATTTTTTAGATGCAATGACAGACATAACATCCAATTTCCATTTCAGTAAGTCCCCAAATCAAAGGGTGCCAGAAACTTGGAGTCTATTTGTATATTATGATCAGTGACTAGTAGTTCTTAGTATCTTTATACAGTTTTGGTTCAACACAGCCATAGTCCTAATCATGGCTTCTAGCTGCTACCGCCATACTTACATCACCAGGTCTATTTTGCACATCAACAGTAATACATGAGCTCACGAAACATGTTCAGCATCCCTAAAATAGAATGCAGACTCTTCTCTCTTTGCTACACCCAGCCCAAGGGGACTCACTAAGAGGAGCATTGATGTGATCGATAGAGGCGATGAGGTAAATGCTAGGAAGAGAGGATAACTGTGCGAGGATCTGCTGACTTCTTTCTCCTCTCAACATCTGGCTGTCCAGGTTGTGAATCAGGACATAGAGCTCTAAAGATGAATCTGCAAGGTCAGATAAAACAGCAGAGAACCAATCAAAGAAACTGCCCACAAAGTGGTTCCCCATTCCCAGTGCAGCCTAGAACAAGTATTCCATCAGGCTCCATGTTCATCACTCCAACATCAAATCACTTTCCTTATAGAGTGTACTTTGATCTCTATCCCACACTTGGTATTTCTGAGCAGCTAAAAGGCTTTTTCTCAATTCACTGTATTGCAGTTCTCATCACAGCTACTGTTCTTTTTTCAGTTTAAGCTTTTCTCTTATAATCCACTTTCCACTTGCTCGTGGCTTTACCAGGAACTGCCCTTTTAGCTATGACTTCTAGTCCTGTGATTCAAGGTCATTCAAATGTATTTTAGGATGGAAGTCTAAGTGCAGTTTGTTCAGCTGCTTTTGAGTTACATGACTAGGATCCTTAAGCTCCTCCTCACACAATGAAAATGCATTTTCTGTTCAAGGTTGGATCCAAAGCATACTAACTTCACTGGAAATCTTTCCCACTGAGTTCTCAAAGGAAGCTGCAAAGCTTGGGTAATGCAAATGGTAGACGTTAAAATTTCCAGCTAGCTTGTTGCTGCTGTACTTATCCACGGGAACAGCTATTTCCTGAGTCCAGAAACTCAGTCCAGTAGCCAGATTTTGTGCAAATGAATACATACTTGGCTGCCAATGGAAACCAAAGATTCCTCAGACTCCCAGTCAGATCAGCTATAGTGTACTACACAAGACTGATTTATGTAGATTCAGGTCAGTATGCTGTTAATCAGTCTTTTCCACTTAGTCCCACGAGAAATACTTATAAGGTAACGATGGAATACAGAATGTAAACGCTTAAAACACCAACGCTATGCACAATCAAGATTCCATGGCAATTGGAATACGTATACACTAGCAGTAAAACTAACATTCAAAAAGATTTCAGCAAGTATGCAGTGTGGTGATACCTATTTAATTTTGCTTTTGAACCCAATTCTAACCTGCTTCTTTGACACTGCTGTCCTTTACTTCATCTTAATATCAGTATTTGCATATATTAAATTTAAATGACCATTCCACTAAACCTACATTTAAGCCTTAATCCAGCCTATACTGAAATTTATGGAAAGACCCTCCGGCCATGATTTTCCCGAGGAGCTCAAAGGACTTGACATCTGTCAGCAACTGTCATTCCAAATTGTTTGCGAGTTCTTTGTTCTGTTGATTTCAGTTAGGGTTATATCAGGTCCTCAAGCAGCCACTAAGAACCATCTTCCCTCATGTAGCTGGACTTTACCTATCCTGTCTTCCACCAGGAAACACGTGGCTAGAGAAACACTGTGGAAATGAAGCACAAAGGCTAAATGCAAGAGAGATGAGCATTTCAGTTTGCCAAAGGGCTGAGGAGCCTCTATCTTGTTAGAACACTTGAGCCTTCCACCTTCCGTTTCTAGAGAACTTGGTGTGTGAAACACTGACTGAGGTAACAGCTTGGGATCATGTACACAATATATTCCTGGCACATACATGTTTTCATATATGTGGCATAAATTACAATCAAGAAAGTATACTAGCTACAGTAAACTAAGAAACTGTAACTGCACATGTGAAAACTATGAGGAAAGAAAACGTCCAGGCTCTCCTAACAGTATGTAGACTCTAACATTTTTATGTATGTAGTTAGTCATTTTACCTTCTTTAAATCTTTTAATGATGAATTCAAGTTGGTCAAGGGGGCTGCGGAATGTCCCTATATGCTCCAGTACTTCCTCAGTGATGGAGTTGAGAATCTGAAAAAGAAAACAGTAGTCCCTTCTGAAGGGCTCTGGCACTGAAGGACTCAGAGAAGAAAACCTGAAGCTGAGCCCTTGACTGTCATGAGGGAGGTAATCTGTTTTTTTACCATCAAATCCCCCAAACAGTGAATATAAAAAAAAAACAACAACCCAAACCCTTTTCAAAACAGTGACATAAAATAAGTCTTTAGACCGATGAGTATCTATTAATGACGGGAATTACTGCAGTTCCTTGGAAAACATACGGGCTAATTTCTTTAAACTCTTAGAGACAGGAACTCCTCTTCATTCAAGAGTCTGCTGCTATAGGATGCAGCAGGTTTCCTTAACATTTTACATTGAAAGACTTCAGAGGTATCTGTAACACAATATGATTAGACAAACCCATAAGCTTTTCCCACACTTACAGATCTCACAGTGATGCTGGGAAAGTATCCATTAACCACAAGGTGAACAGAATCCTGGAGGACAGAGGTACGAAACTTCTCTAACAAATCACGCTTTGAGCCCAGTCCATAAAGCAGGATATTGAAACCCAAGCTGCAGAAAAGTGAGCAAATACACCAAATCAAAACAAGCCTTCATAGTGGTTTTCTAGTCTGATCCGCAGGCACGATTTCAAAGCAAAATTAAACTATTCTCAGATCTCTTGCTTATCCTAATTGTTCCACAGAGAAAGAGGCAGGAAAGCATAAAGAGAACGTGGTAGGGAATCACAAAGCTTTGTTCATTTTTGAGAATCAGGAAAAGCATCATCTTGACCAGAAAGCAGAGTATCAGGTCATTCAAATAGCATTGGGCAAAGGTAAGGTGTTCAACAACTGTCATTGACTTCAGTATCAACTATGGGTTTGTTCGTTCTACCCTGCCACGTACTTCTCTAACCATTTGCCCAGATCACTGAGAACTCATCCTCTTGTAACTCTTCAGCTTTCAAAGCTAATGTCTTTTTCACATGCTCTGCCACTCCCCATGGACCCCAAATTTCTTCATACTCCACTCCCTTGCAAAGCTTCCAGGAGGCTTTCTCCTCACCAACATCTGCTCTTGCCTCAGCACTTAACTTCAGAGCTGGTGACCTGCCTTCTCTAAGGTGTTTCAGAATCTCACAGCTCTCTGCAGTTCTCCATTTGCTTTCCTGGATGCTTACTCTTTTCTCCTTCCCATGAAGATATACGTGAACCCAGATAAAATTTATACTACAAATGATTCCAACACCATTAAGGTTTCTTCATGCATAGATCATTAGGCACCATAGGCACTCAAAGTTCACTGCTACACCACTGGGGATAGCCAAATACTGAAGTAGTGGGCTACTCACTACCAACTACGCTGCTGTAAACAAAACTGATTGTTCACTAAGGACACTTTTCTCATCATTCATGTTCCCCATTTTCTCATTATTTATGTTCCCTGTTTTTGAATGCCCTCTAGCTTGGTTTACAGAGGTGCAGACAAACTAGCAAGGCAGAATGCAACTTCATTTCACTTCAGGCATTCAGTTCAAGAAGTTAGTCAGATATGATTTGGTCTACAGGAAACATTGTACTACATTAATGTCACCTAATTTTAAACTTAAGCAATCAATCAAAGAAAAAAAAGTCAGTCCTTAACTGACTTAAAAGATGTTGTTGATGTCAGGGTAAGTTTACTGGCAGTGCCTGTTTACTAGTTTTCTTCAATGCTTCTCATTGGATACTTACTGTAATTGCTGCATCCACTTGGAAAACAGGGATTCGTGTTGCTGATTTAGCTCTTTAATTTCAGCAGCATAGGCAAGGGGAGCTTTTTTCAAAAGGTCATGCAGTGTTTGCTATGTTGAGAGAGGTAAGACGACAGTGATTCAAAGCTGAGAAAAAACAAGACATATATCTGGAGTCCTTACAAACACCCCTCTAGTACGGGAGCAGAACAGTTTTCACTGACAGTGCACTTAATTCATGTTTTTTTCCATGAAGACCCCTCTAAGCACAGGTTCGCTACTAGAGAAACAAAACAGAAATTAAGTAACCTTATCAGGGAAAATGGTAGCCAGACTAGGACTAGAACTGATATCACACTGTGTTTTATCTCTTCCTGCT